GACATCATGCTTGGTTAGGGTGGAGGGACAGCGCAGGAGGGGAAGACCCTCTATGAGGTGGATTGATTCAGTGACTGGGGTAATCGGGATGGGTGTGTCAGAGATAATGCAATTGGCACAGGATAGAGCAGGGTTTAAGGCTGTTGTTGTACATAGGGTCGTTATCAGTCACCAGTGACTCGACGGCACATAACAACAACAACCACCACAACAATGATGTTCATTTGTAGTTACCAAGGAGTAAAGAGAGGATTCACTCTTTAGAAAGTAGACACTTGTTTTTGGTGATGCTCAATGATTATATACACGTACCTTGGCAAAGGTAAACAGTATCACTAGGAAGTATGTAAGATAGAAGTACCTGTATATAATTGCTATGACACTTAGAATTTTGAAACAGCAAAACAACCAAAAATACATATGCACGTAATGTATTTAAAGCCATGTGTATATTTAAGGAGCTCTGGTGCATAGTCTATAGGGAGCTGTGCTGTTAACCTACAAACAGCACCTCTCTGAAGGTTTGAATCCACCAACAAGAGACAGGTAACCGCAGGAGGAGGCCAGTTTCCTCCTGTGTGATTTACAGCTTTTGAACCCCGCTCCCCTCCTGAGACTCAGCTATGAAGTGGTTCCAATTCAATGGCAATTAGAGTTTTTTTAATGTTGTTGTGCTATCTGTCTGTTTGATTTTCTTTAAAAAATATTAGCATGAAGAGGGTCATGGTTCCCAAACTCAGAAAAACTTCAGTGCTAGTTAATGATACCCTAAGCAAGAGGCAAAGAAGTTATTTGGGTAGTGAAATAAAGGTTTATTCAAAAGCATAAAGGAGGAAAGCCAGTGAATATCATTGCTTATGCTTTAGGCACGTTGCATTCAATAGTCACAACAAACCTCAAAAATAAAAAAAAATTCTCTGAACTACTAGAGGATTTATACCACTGAATGGTACAAAGCTAACAGAAATGTGAGTGAAATCAGATATGGAGAAATGGATAATGATGTGGACTGAAGACCAAACACAAAAAAATAATTCCTCTCAATACATTAACTAACAAGATCCTGGTTCTTCTGTGATGTTGCTGCTGTTAGTGCTATTACATCAAGTAACCCCGTGAACAACAGATTTGAAACCTGTCCTGTCCTGTGTCTTCTTCACAATCTGTGACACCCATGGCTGCTGTCACTGTGTCAGGCCACCTGGTTGAGGGCCTTCCTATCTTTAATTGACCTTCCACCTTCCCAAGCATGATGTCACTCTCCAAGGAATAACTTTTCCTAGCAGCATGCTCAGAGTTTGTGAGATGAAGTTTTTTTGGTTGGTTTTGTTTGTTTGTTTGTTTGCTTGTTTGTTTGTTTTTTGAGATGAAGTTTTGTCATCTTTGCCTCTAAGGAACACTGTGGCTGCACCTTCTCCAAGACACACCATTTTTTTCTTTTCCCAATCCATGAGATATTCAGTACTGTTCTCCAACACCATCAACTATTATTCTATAATCTTTACTCATTGTCCAGCTCTCAGCAAAATACCAAGTGATTGAAAAGACCATGGCCTGAATCAGGTGCACCTTAGTCCTCAAACTGACATCATTGCTTCTTAATAATTTAGAGAGTTACCTGATTGCAAACTTTCCCAGTGAAATGCTGATCTCCTGACTGCTTTTCCTATGATAAAGTCTGTGATATGATGTTCACAAAATGTACAAGCAGAACATATCAAGAACTTAAAGCAACACATGAGCATATATTAATAAAGTACATGGAAGCATAATATGGATACTTCTTAGATATAATCAAACAGTATTATATTTTTAGACTACATTAGATTTGTGGGTTCAAAGAATTAAAGACCTAATCTCCTGGCTAGGATACCTCAGAATTACATTGTACTCAATATAGTATAGTTCTTAAAGTTATCTTCTACATGTTAGTTTGGTAGGTAATCTCTAGGGTATTAAAAGCTCATGAGTGTCTTCCTTTGGATTAATTTTATCCAACAGAGTGTGTGTGAATACATGGATGAAAAAAATAATTTGCTTTATAAACTTTTACTTTATAAAGAAAACAGCAAAACAAAAAAATCAATAAGCCATGCTTTAAGAAGAAACTCTTGTGTGTAGCTTTATACAGCTACAGTACAGCTTAATAGATCCCCATTTCTCTGGACAGAAAAAAAAGAAAAACTCAAAGAAGAAATTAGTTTATAGGACAAATTGTTGTTAGCGGCTTTTGAGTCAAGTATAGCTCATAGCAACCCTATGAACAATAGATCCCTGTCCTATCCTGTGCCGTATGTATCAATTCTGATATACGTGAGTCAGTCACCATGTTAGTCCATCTGGTTGACAGTCTTCTTCACACACTCTTCACTTTTCTAAGCATAAGGTCCTTTTCCAAAGATTAGCCCCTTCTGAAAATATGCCCGGGGAGCTCTGGTTGCTTAATGGTAAGGAATTGTGCTGTAACACAAAGGAACACGGTTCAAACCCAATAGCTGCTTACTACATAGGTGAGAGAGGGGCAATCTCCTCCTGTGTGATTTACTGCCTTTGAAAACCTGTAGGATCAACTATGAGTTTTTACTTGATGGTACACAACAACAACAACAACAATAACAATGTCCAAAATATGTGTGATAAAGCTTCATCCTCCTTACCCCTACCCAGCTATGAGTACAGACTATTCATAGTAAGGACACAATAGATGGGCCCTGATAGAATGAGTGAAAAATGTAGATGAGAATCAGAATCGCAAATTAAAGAAAATTTAGACCTCCTGGATTCAGTAAGACTGGACAACTTCCTGAGACTGGGCCAGAGGATCTTCAACCCTTGAACTAAAACTAAACCCTGAGGTCACCTTGTAGCTAAGTTACAAATTGCCTCAAAAGTTAATATTAACAGTAAGTGCTGTTTTCTTTAAAACAGCTACACAACTACCAATTTGATGATAAATTACTCTGAAACAAAGATGAGAAAGTGAGGGAGTAGGGAAACTGGAATCATGGAAATGGAACAACCAGAGCAGAAATAATGAAAATGTTCATGCATTGTCAATAATGTAACCACTGTTACTGAATAAATTGTATAGTGAGTACTGAGTAAGAACTTAAACTGATGTGTAAACCTTCATGGAAAACAAAAATATTATTGAAAAATATTTTTTGCTAAATGCTTCCTGCCCTTCTTACAGCTACACTGTCCAGTCATAGCTACCATTTACATGGAACTAATGGACCCTTGAAATGTACTAGAGCAATAGTGGAACTGAATTTTTCATTATATTTCATTTTTATTATTTTAAACTTATGTGTAAAAACGGATAATCATTCTGTTATTAGAAAGCTCTGTGTATGTTATTATAATTTGTTATGTGAATCTACTTTTCTGTTTGTAAGTTCTTGGTCTCTAAATGCAGACGAATGTTTTCCATAAAAATTTTACTTCCAAACTGAGATATAATGCACACTGGGTTCCTATAGTTCATTAATAATGTTCGTATTGATTGCATGTTGAGATGATAAGACTGTATATGCACTCACTCACATTCTTTGCCACCCAGTTGAAATCAGCTCATTGCTGACTCTCCAGTGAATTTTCGGAGGCTGCAAATTGCTCTGGAGGAGACTGGCCATTTTCCTTCCATGGAGTTGTTGGCAGATTCACACCTCTTGTCTTTGAGTTGGCAGTGCAACTCTCTATGTGGTAACCACCAGAGCGCCAAATACATATTTTTGCTGCTGTTGTTATCTGCCAGTGAGTTGAAATCGACCCATAGCAAACCCTCTAGTAGTTTTTCAAAGGCTGTAAATTGCAAGGGGAAAAAATTGCCCACCTTTCTTCTACAAAGCAGCTCGTGGATTCAAACTGCCTAGATGTGTCAGAGACAATGAAATAAAATAAAACTGGCACAGAATAGAGCAGGGTTTAGGGCTGTTGTGCATAGGGTTGCTATGAGTCACAGGTGACTTGACAGCACATAACAACAACAATAACAATCCTGAGATTGGCAGTGCAACTCCTTTCCTACTAGACCACAAGAATTCACTAAATATATACTGTTGTTATGTACCATAGAGTAGGAACCAACCTATAGCTGACCTCCAGCTGCTTTTCAGAAGCAGTTAATCAAATGGGAGATTTCCATCCTTCTTCTGCAAAGCAGCTGGTGGCCTCGAACCGTGTGCCTTTGGGATTGCAGCGCAGCTTCTTGCCAGTAGGTCACCAGAGATTTCTATGATAGATTAAATATAGATAAAATATATTACTAAAATGAATTTCTCCTATTTCCTTTTATCTTTAAAACATAGTTATTATAGAGTTTTAAGATACATATATGACTACATTGTATACATTTACTTGTACTGGACATATTATATATGACTAACATGTATGTGGCCAACATTACATACAGCACTGAAAAACAAGAAACTCATAAAATATTACACAATTAGTGAAATATCACAGTATACAATGCATGGTTTAAAATTGGGAAGAGTGTATGGTGGAGATGTGTCCTGTCTCCATACCTTAAAAGTAAGAAAGATACAGGGGAAATTAGAAGAAGTGATTTAGAAAACTTTGAATGAAGCACATATTCCCTTTACAACCCCAGGTGTATTTAAAAACAAGTAGAAATGAGACTTAATTAAGCATATTGACTCTCACCATAGACCTGGACTCAAACAAAAGAACTCCAAACTTACTGTCATTAAGTCAATTTTGACTCATAACTGACTCTCCAGCAGGTTTCAGAGGCTGTAAATCATGTGGATGGAGACTGCTTATCTCTCTAGGAACCACCAGAAATGTGCCGCCTTTGGTTAGCAATGTAACACTCTACAGGTTACACTACCAGAGTTCCTTAAATTAATAAATACCTGAATAACTGACTGCTTGTCAAAATCAGAGGTTGAATTTTATCATATACATAACACAGGCAAATGATAAGTTAGTTGAAATTCTGAAGCAGGTTCCATGAAGTATATCATTTTAATGGTTTTTTTCAATCTGTATGAAAATATGACTTTATATGCTCATAAATATAGCAGGAAACCTAAAATAAGAGAAATGAGTCATGCAAAAGAGTAAAGCAAAGTTGCTCATTTTGCTTTAGTATATATTGAAGTCACATATCTTGGAGATGGAATAAGAAAGGTTCTCAATAAATAGACATTTTCTCTATATTTTGCTATTTATGTAATACAAATAATAATTCATAATATTTTCCTATTTTTTTATAATCTGTGGACATATCTGTCTCTGTATATATGGGATTCATTTCCCCCCTCATATTCAGAATCAAAATATGTTTCACTAAATTCTGTTAATGAGTAATTTCAGATATTCTGAATCATTAATGCAAATGTAATATTGTTTTCTATTTCAGTTAATTGATGGAAGAGAGAAATTAAGAGCTGAACTTGAAAATGAAAAAATATTTGTTCAAGATATGGTAAGGTTACCTTATTATTTCCTAGTAAATTTGAATTCAGGAATTTAAACAAATTTTTTCTAACTTTCATTTGTAACTATACTGTACACTATTCATTTCACCTTTACAAATGATCTAAATATGTTTAGGTAAATGTGAACACTTTTAAATTATCACTTTCAATAAAATGATTTGTAATAAACATACTGTGTAGAAAAATCTTACATAAGAAAGTATTACAATTTAAGACATTGTGTAATATTTCTACTTTCTACATTGGAATTAAAAACAAAACAATTATAAGAGTCCAATATTTTGAAAGATTTGCTATTTTTGGTTACAAATTGGCATAAAGGACAACAAAAACAGAGCCAGCTAGATATTTTGGCATTCCGTGTTAGTCTCATAAGAAAACACTGCCTTTTTATGTTCTTTTAAGAGAACTTTCCAGACGGCTGGTCTTTTATATTATCAGTTGACTACTCACCCTCTAAAAGCCCTGAGCCTCACCCCCTACCCAGCTTAGGGTAGTGTAGTTTGGCTTTCAAGTGATCACCACTAGTATGTCTTTGTTACCCTAAACTGACTGTGTTTATTATAATAAAACATAAAACACAGCTTGATTTGCGTACTAAATGTGCTCGAAAAGAATATGATACTGTTTAGAAGAGAAAAGGTTGTTCATAGGAAATCAGCACTGCCTCAGATATTGAAACATTTGCTTTTTTACAGCTTGTCACACTTTGTGCCAAGTCATGACTGCTCCTCTAACTCTGTTTTGTTATTCTCAGCACCATGTGTTTTGGTTTCCTTGTCATAGAAATTAATGCAAGACAATGCTCCTAAATTACAATGCAGCCTTCTAAAAAGCCAACATGGTAATGCAGGAAGCAAAGAACGCTATGGTTCACAACACACAAAAACCATGTGGTGGCTGACAAATTTGTGATTTTTGAACCTGTTACTTTTAAACACCTGGCCTATAAACAAACATAGTCTCTGTCACTATTTGAGTAGATTTGATCAGCTATGTCCAACCCCACTTCCACACTCTCAAGCCATTCCTCCAAAGTCCAGGTCTTTTGTCTAAAAACAAACTTCTAAATGTGCACATTGTCATTAAGATGGAGAGTGTTTTTATAGAGTGGGAAGGGAAAACCCATATTGTAAGTTTGTTAGCAGTAATAGAGAGGACAACAAACTACTTACTCAGTGGTTTCTGCCTATACTATTAGCAGACTCCATACGCTTTGAAGGACCTGGCTCCTTTCATTTTAACTGTGAGTGTTTACGGGTGCTATTGTATTGCCCACAGGGGAACCAATCATGTTTTATTTTGTAGTTTAGGAGTTTGTTGAGCCCCAAGCTTGTTGCCAAGCAGCCAGAGTCTGCATTACAAGCTCTTGAGGGCACCAGAGCCGTCAGCATGCTTAGAACTGCATTGGTGATCCATGTTTTCCATTTGTAGCTACATATTATGTTCTTCCTGTGACCAAAGTTTTCTTGGATTATTCAGTTTGTATCCAGAAAGATCACTATTTGGGGACTATCACCACCACCACATGTATTCTGTGATTCATGCTGAAGCAGGCTTCACTCTATCGTTACAGGCTTGGATCCTTGGTTTTCTTTGTTGGTCTCCATAGTACTTCCTTCAAGGACAGGATTTGTGACTATGTTGAGATGATGGTAAAATAAGATAAGAGAAGGTAGAGTTGAACAGAATCGTTTTATAGAATTACAAAATTACTCTCTGGCTAAAGGGTTTTTGTTCTGTGGTTGTCTATTCCTGATATAATTTACTTCTGATCTATTAAGAACCTACCAAGTTAAAGATCAATATAGAGGTAAGCAATAAAATGTAGAGCAATCATATCCTACATTTGGCTTTTGGGGCACCTATTGAATAATTTTCTGAAGATTATCCAAAAACAAATGGATTAGTAGTACATCAACAGACAACTGCCAGATATGCAAGCTGGATTTAGAAGAGGCCACAACCCTAAGGACATGATATTAATGTTAAATGGATCTTACTTAGCTGAAATCAGAGAGTACCAGAGATACTCTGTGTTTCATTTGACTATGTGAATCACAACAAATTGTGGCTTATCTTGATAAGAATGGGCATCCCAGAACACTTGATTGTGCTCAGGTGAAACCTGGACATGGACCAGGAAACAATCATCAGAACTGGGCAAAGGAAACATGGCATGGTTCCATACCAGGAAAGATGTACATTAGGGATGCATCCTATCTCCATAGCTTTTCAATCTATATGCAAAACATATCATTCAGGAGTCTGGGCTTATGAGAAGGAATGTGGCGTCAGGATTGGAGGAAGGCTCATCAATAACTGGCAATGAGTGGGTGATATAATCTTGCTTGCTGAAAATGAGGAGGACCTGATATGTTTGCTACAGAGTAGGTCAAGGATTGAGCTCAACATCAAGAAAACAGAGTCTCACCACCGGGCCAGTTGGCAGTATCATGATAGATGAAGAAGAAATTGAGGTTAACAATTTCAGCTTGCTTGGTTCCACAATCAAAATTTTGGCACCAGCAGTTATTAAATCAAAAGACAAATTGCTTTGGAAAAAAAATCTATTATCAGGGACCTCTTTAGAGTACTGAAGAGCAACGATGTTAGTCTAGATACTCAGGTGCGCCTGATTCAGGCCATCATCTTTGCAATTGCTTGCTATGCATCAGAGAGCTAAACAATGGCTAAGTCTGACAGAAGAATCAATGCCTTTCAGTTGTGACGCTGGAGAAGAGTGAACATACGTGGACTTCCAAGAGAGGAAACAGGTATATGCTGGAGAGAGTGCAAACAAATTGATTCTTAGAGGCAAGGATTTTGAAGCTCCACAAGGATTTTTGAAGCTCTGTCTTACATACTTTGGACACATGGCCAGGAGGGACGGATCCTTGGAGGAGGACACCATGCTTGGAAGAATGGAGGGACAGTACAGGACAGGAAGACCCTGGTTGAGATGAATTGACATAGTAACTGGGGTAATGGAGGTAGGTGTGTTAGAGACAATGAGATTGGCTCAAGATAGGGCAAGGTTCAGAGCTATTGTAAGGTCATGAAGAGATGCAAGCAACTCAATGGCACATAACAACAATAACTGAATGATTGTATAACTTCTTGCTATTCCTAAGCTGACTTCTTGTTATTTTGTTGAGTTGAAACTGACCTATAAGAATTGTGGTGTTTTTTTTAAATTTATATTTTTTTTTATTAATTTCAAGGAACATCTACAGAGATTTTGGAATTCCATTCTTTCATTGTTGCACTTTTCTCCCCGCCCCTCACCCCCAGTTCGCTCCTCTCCTTGAAAAGCAAAAGGAAAACTCCTTCATTGGTACACAATCCCCCACACACACCCCCACTCACACCCCAAATACACTCCATTCTGCAACCCTCATTCCGCACTCATATGATCATAAAAATTGTCTTTTATGATCTTTTTAAAATACATTTGTACTGATGTTCTGGAAATAATGCCTCCCAGCTAGAGACAATAGTGGTTCAGCAGTAGAATCCTCATCTTCTATGAAGGACACTTAGTTTGATTCTCAATCACACTTAATGTGCAACCACCAGTATGTTTCTATGATGCTCACTACATTTCAACAGAACTTCCAGACTAAGACAGCAATTTCCTTATCCTTTTATATCTTGACACTTTGCCATAATATGATTATCTTATTAACTTCTTTTTCTTTCCTAAGCACATCAATATAAAAATGTTGCACTAATAGTCCAATGAAGTTGGTGCTTATTACCATTAGTTCCAGTTTTGGTTAAAAGTTCCAAATTTACATTTGAAGGAATTGTCATAAAATACAAGTTAAATGCTTACTTTGGGAAATATTCTTTGTATTCCTAGAGGCAATACAAGGATATAGTGAGTTACATGTTGAATTATTAAGTAAAAATTTCTAGTAAGGAACACTTTGTGAAAGTTTAAGTAGTTCTATTCTACTAGCCACTCTGAGAAAAGATCAGGATCAGTAGTCTCCTCCCATAAAGAGTTACAGCTTTGCCAACACAATAGGAGGTTACAATGAGCCAGAATCTACTCCATTGCAATGGTTTTGTTGTTGCTTTTTAATAGAAGATATGTATGTGTAATACTGCTAGGAAATGAGATATGAATATATAGTTTATTGATAAAAATATTCTGAAAACATTTCTAGCTTGTACTGAACAGCACTCAATTGTCATTCCCACAAGTTACTTAGAAATATGTTTAACTAGGTAGAAAAAGATTTATATGTTTTGTGCAAATAATGCATGAGTCTTGGGTTTTTCCCCACTGTGTCCTCTTATATTCCTTCCTCAGGTATTTTTACAAATGTTTCATGCCTTTCCCCCTTCATTCATTGTTGCACATTTTATTCCTTTATACAGTTCTCTCCCTTGTCCATTTCAATACCATGTATATTATTTATCCCCTCTTTTCTTAGTTCCCCCCTCAGCATAATTTCCTCAGTGGTCACCCATTTTGTATACTATTTCATGAGTTCTTGGTTTGTCAGTGCTGCATACAATTCCATTTTGTAAATATACCTCATCTCTAGCCATTCATTTGTTGATGGGCACATGGGTTGTTTCCAACTCTTTGCTACTATGAACAAAACTGCAATAAACATAGGTGTACATATATCTGTTTGGGTGGCAGTTCTGGTTTCCTTAGGTTGTATTCCCAGTAGTGGAATTGTTGGGTCAAATGGTATTTCTATTTGCAACTTTCTGAGACAGCACCATACTGCCTTCCATAGTGGTTGCACCATTTTACACTTCCACTAACAGTGAATAAGGGTTCCAGTTTCTCCACAACCTTGCCAGCATTTGCTGTTTGCTGCTCTGCTGAATTTTGCTATTCTTACTGGGGTGAGATGATATCTCATAGTTGGTTTGAGTTGCATCTCTCTAAGAGCTAGGGATTTTTAACATTTTTTCATGTGTTTGTTCACCATCTGAATGTCTTCTTTGGTGAAGTGTCTGT